ATGTCTGCCGATATTACCAGTTGTCCCCCAAGGAAGTAAGAAATTGTCCCTGGTTGATAACTGTTGTTCTAACTTATCTTCAGGATAAATCTTTAGAAGCGGAATTGCTGAATCTAAGGTTATGTGTGTGTGAAATTCTGATGCCAATTGCTGAGTTGTTCTCCATAGAGATTGTACTGTTTTACACTCCAACCAGCAGTATTTGAGGATATTTTCTCATTTTCACCAATATGGTGGTTTCTAAAAAGTTTTTTGGCACCTCACTATGGTTTTAATTCGTATTTCACTGCTTTACAGCTAACCTTGTTGTTGAGCACTTAGTGCTTGCTAGGCACATGGTATTTTTTGGCTTGTGGGTTTTGTGACATGCTGTGAAATGCCATCCTCTCTATGTAGCCCTCTTAAAGTTTGGTACCTAGAACTGAAGACAGTGCTCTGGGTTTCTTCTGATCATAAGGAAATGATAATATGTAGCATCTAATGTGTGACCGACACTGTGCTCAGTACGATTTAAAAGTGCGTTATCCCCATGTTGCCTAAGCGTTTACTTTTAATAAAATGGGGCGTACATTCTTCCTTTTGCGTTGGTATGTGGTGTCTCTCTGGACACGTTCTGCTAGTCAAGTTCTCCTGAATTAGGATGTGTCACAGCTGGCTGAAGGAAGTATTTGATTCTGCAGTTGGGAATCATAATAGTCCTTGCCTTGTGATTGGGTCAGAATTGGTTTAGATGCCCCAATTTAAATTTGTAAGTTCTCTTAGTTATTTTCTCTTCCAGGACTCTCTTCTTTTCCTTGTTAACCGTCGTCAAAGTGGGAAATTATGGCCTTGTGTATGCTTATTTTCTTCGTTCTTTTCTCTAGGTGTTTTTGTTCATCACTAAATACCTAACACCTGATATAATGTGTGGCCCGTAGTATGCGCCCAGTGAATATCTGAATGAATGGGAACTGAGGAGCCCTGGGAATCGGGTCATTTGAGGCCCTAAAGGCCTAGGTTTGCTGTTCAGTGGGTTGAAGAGTTTGTTTAGCTTAGCGATGGGCTCTGTCACCTTCCTAGGATGAAGCCATCTTCCCTCCTAAAAGGGTCAGAACTAGTTGGTTCTTATGTTTTTCTCTGGACCCTTTGGGTTTTGGGGGGAACTTTGATCCAAATAAGTCTCAGTGAGTTTGGCTGAAAGCTGTGGAAGTTAAGAGAATGAGTAAATATTCCTCGGAGTTAATGGCTTCCCCGGCCTCATGCCTAAGGAGTGTAGGGGAGGAAGACATTTCCTCCGCCCACTCTGGGTCCCTCTGGCCGGACAACAAATTAAATTCACATGAGACAGAATGACAGGAGAAAATGAAACAAAGCCGTATAACATGTATACATAGGAGAGGCTCCGGCAAACTGAGCAACTCAGCCAACTGGCCGAGGCTACCTGTGTAAGTATCTTCAGCTACAGACAAGGAGGACGTTTGGGGTAGTGGTTTGGGTCTTCAAAGGGGAGGAAGGCAACCCGCATGGAAACGGAAAAGCAAATGTTTGGTAAATAGAACCTTGAGAAGAGTGGGCTTAGCAAGGATCCTCCCAGTCTACCGAAACCCAGAATTACCTAGATTATGGCCTGTCCTGGGGACGGGCCTTTATTTTAAACTTCTTTCAGGCAGTTAGAGGGAAAAGTCGAATGTTCCTTGCTGAGTCTGAGCCTTTATCGTCTTCAGCTCGAAATAATCTGCATAACAGAGTGGTGCATCTTGGGGTGGCCTGCCCTGAACCCCATCAGGAGTCATGTTTATATTTACTTGAGGCAAAGTGATAGCCTCTCCTAAATGAGCAGTTATCTAGGAATTGTGGTGTGATTGAGTTCGGACGGGTGTGATTTTCTGGTGTTTCCAGAGGTACAGTCTGTTGAGGCCTAAGATGCAGTGACCTGTGGCTTTACCTACTGCTGTGCTGATCCAGCAAGATGTTTGGAACCCTGCTTACTAGCCACAGTTTACTTGCTTTTTATCTCTACTTCTCAGAATTTTTGTGAGGATTGCTTAGTGTTGGCCACATAACTTGTTTGGCTAGTTTACTGTTCTCTGTTCTGGAGCCAGCTTGTAAACGAGAACTCAAGGGTGGGGCGAGAACTCAAGGGTGGGGCGGGACAACAAGGGGAGTTCGCGGCCTCTGATGCGGGAAAGTGCAGCTGGGTCATGGTCGGCAAACTGTTTCTGAAAGGGTCAGGTAGTAAATAATTAGGCTTTGCAGGCCATGGTGTCTGTCGCATATTCTTTGTTTTTCACAGTTCTTTAAAGATAGAAAAACTATTGCTAGGTCATGAGCCTTATGAAAACAGACTGTAGCCAGATTCAGCGCATGGGCTGTGGTTGGCCAACCTCTGAGCTAGGTGAAGAACTTAGTTTAATGCTAAACGTGTTTAATGTTTTGGGGACGTGAACCAGAATAACCTTGGGAATTCTCAGTTGGTTGTGATCCAAAGAAAGGGATCTAAATTCTGGCGTGGGAAGTCAGAGTGACCCTAGTGTCAGTCACTTTGGGTCCTCGGAACTCAAGGTGACCTTGGCCAGTGAGACAGCAGCTGTCCAGTGGGCCAGAGGGATCGCGCTGCATCTTTGCTACAGGAGTGCTGGCTAAGGGAGACAGGGATGGAAGAGTGGAACGGAGGTGTGGCCCTAGAATTAGGCTGGAATTAGATAGGTTTAAGGAATACAGTGACTCAGCGTGTTAAATTGGTTAAGTCTCAGAAATACATGTAATTTCCTGAACCTTTGCTAGGATGTAATTGGAAATCTGGCATGTGCAATCAGTTTGGCCAGTTTATAAAAATGAAAGAGCAGATTTGTACTTTGGATTCTGAGAACACCAGATTCTGATACATGAATCCAGATTTGTCTTGTGGTTTTTCTCTGATCGCAGGAAGTTCTATAGAGCAGGCCTGGCATGAAGGAAGTGTTAATTTATTTCACAGTAGTTTGGGGGAGAGGAAGACACAGTGGTTAAAGAGCATGGTCTATGAGACACATGCACTTGTCCAAATTCCTACTCTACCACCTGCTAGCTATGTGATCCTGGGGAACGGAATCCTCTGAGCCCAGTTCCCTCACTTGTAAATAGCGGTGATAATGATAACTCCACCGTGGGGTTGTTGTGAGAATTGAGTGAGGATAGTATATGTAAAATGCTTATTATATTAGCTCAGTGTCTGTCATGCTAGCTTTCAGTAAATGTTAGCAGTGAAAGTGGAGGATCAGAAACAAGTATCAAGTATTTGTATTTGATCAAGTATTTGTATTAGTATTTGTGACTCAGCGCTGCTGAAATACCATGTCCTGTTAATTTAATCACTAGATGTGTGGGAATGTAATGGGAGCAGTACTGAATTAGGAGTCAGAAGAACTGGATCTGTCTCCCTCACTCAGTTTCCTAATTGGTAAATAAAAATAATACGTGTTGACAGGTTATGAGATAACATGTGAAGGGGCATTGAGTTCTATAAAGCAGTGAACAAAATTGAAGGTGAAGTCAGTAACCTGTTCACTTGTTCAGTTTCTTGGCCTTCTAAATATGTTGGAACAGAGCCAGAAGGTGACTAGTGTGAAGCTAGAAGAAACTCAATAGATGCTCCGTGGTTCCGGACTTGCATTGGTAACTGGTGGTTAGGAATGAGTAATAGAAAATTGGAATACTTTTGTAAGTTATTTGAAGTAGTGGAATATTGAAAATGAGTGGCCAAAGTAAGTGAAAGAAGCCAGTCTGAAAAGGCTGCGTACTATTGGATTACAACTGTATGATCTTCTGGAAACGGCAGAACTATGGACACGGTAAAAAGATCAGTGATTCCTAGGGGTGAGGGCAAGGAAGGCTGAATAATTGGAGCACAGAGGATCTTTAGAGCAGTGAAAATACTCTGTATGATGCTATCAAGATGGATGCATGGTGTTATACATTTGTCCAAACCCATAGACAACACCAAGAGTAACCCTAATGTAAACTGTGGACTCTGGGCGATTGTGATGTTAATGTAGGTCCATCAGTTGTAACACAGGCACCACTCTGGTGGGGATGTTGATGCTGGGGGAGGCTGTGCATGTGTGGGGGGAGGGTATATGGGAAATCTTTGTACCTTCCTCTTAATTTTGCTGTGAACCCAAAGCTGCTCTTAAAAAATAGTCTGAAAAAAAAAAACAGTGGCTAGTGTGGGGAGATAGGCTGGAGGAGTTTAATCTCCATGTTGAAAATGTGACAATATCTTGTAAAATTAAAACTGTATATTTCTTTTCCCCTGCAATTCCATTTATAGGAATTTATCCTGAAAATATATTTGCATGTGCATTTTGTATGCTAAATCCTGTATACACACATTATTTATAACAACAGAAAAGTGGAAACATTGGTGTCCAACCTCAGGAAACCAGTTAACTACATTATGGTACATTCTTACAGTGGAAAACTATGTACCAGTAAAGAGTGAGGGAGCGCTGTGTGTGCTGAAGGAACACTTCCAAGATACGTTAAGCAAAAGAAACAAAACAAAGCAAGGTGAAGAACAGTGTTCATAGTATGCCATGATTATTGTTGCAGGTGGGGGGCAGTAGAAGGGATCAATTATGATTTCCTTGTATAGGCATAGAATATCTCGGGAAGAGTAGGGAGCTGGTAATATGCTTGCATCTGTGGATAAGAACTCTGGGTAGCTGGGGGACAGGTAGGAGGGAAATCTACTTTCACGGTATACTGTCTTTATCTTTTGAAATGTGTCTTATTTCCATATATTTTCTATTCAGAAAGTTTGAGTGGCCGCAGTTTGGAGTTGAAAACTATATGAAACGTGTTTGTTTTCCTCCCACGTCCATGTCTGCCGCTTGTTGCTCCACACCATCGCTTTGCTCTTGATGACTGTGGAAGCTGGCACTGACTCTGGGCACAGCCTGTAACAGCCCCCATCCCCAAAGCACCTTGGTGTTTCTCCTCTTGGTTTGTGTGACTGACGGTGTTTCTGTTTCCACCCCCAGCTTTGGCAGCGTGTAAGCAACTTCTTACCAAGAACCCAGGTCACCTCTAAGAAGGGGGCCTTAGGGAGAAGAATATCCAGAGGAAACCAATGCCAGACGCGTCTGGAATTACAGTCACCGCGGGCAGCATGAGACATTGTGTGCCAGCATTTATGTCCTCCTGGCAAAGACTGTAGCTCTCCAGGTGGGAGGGTCCTGGAAGCAGCACGCACCAGGAGCCTCCAGAGGAAGAATGGAGCCAGATGTGAACTCTCTACAATGAACACATTTTCAGCTTATGAAGGAAATTTGAGTAAAACAATTATTTAATTTCCACATATTCAAGTTCAGTGGCCTTCCGTGTGAAGTGCCAGCAGCCACCCCTCCACAGGAGTTACTAGGATTTTTCTGGCACCAGGTTGAACTCTTCTTGGTACTTCTGGCAGTGACGGGTCTTCAGGACAGATTTATCTGCTAAATGCTCTTGGGCAGGAAAAAAATAAAACTGCCGAAAGCAGCGTAAGGGTAGCAGGACAGAGATCCCTCCTTCACTGCTCACTTTCACAGAAACTCAGCCTGGACACGGATGCTTACCCTGAAGATTGATTCTGCCTCATTCCCCTGCAAGCCCATCTATTCTGGAGAGAGCTGGCATTTTTGGGCTGCCTCCTGTGGCCCTTCTTACTATCCTCCTCCTCGCAAACTTACTCTTCAGGCCGTCAAATGATATGAACTTTGGAATGGAGTTTGTTATCCTTTGGGGACTTGCTCCCTTTCCCGGGCTCTTGCTGTCTGAGAGGACCATCTGAAGGCTGTGGTTTGTTCTTGGGGAGGAGGGCCTTGGCCTTGCCTGGATCCTCCACCATGTTCCTGTTGCTGCCTTTTGATAGCCTGATTGTCAACCTTCTGGGCATCTCCCTGACTGTCCTCTTCACCCTCCTCCTCGTTTTCATCATAGTCCCTGCCATTTTTGGAGTCTCCTTTGGTATCCGAAAGCTCTACATGAAAACTTTGTTAAAAATCTTCGCGGTGAGTGGTCCTGTTTACAAGTGGTTCCTTCACAGAGGAGGGAAGAAGTGCCCTCAGCAAAAAGTTATCTGGTTGATTTTTATTTCTGTTGACATGGAGAAGGTAGGGAGGATGGGAAATGGCATTCGGGTAAAAAGAATAGCTAAGTGTGTACATGTGACAGCCCGTAGCAGTCTTTCTTTTTGAGCTGAGGTGCTTGTGTGTGTGATTCTTCTGTGCAGAGGAGCCTGTTCCATGACTCCACACCTGGCCTGTCTACTTGAAAGAGAGGGGCTTAGAATTAAAGGAAAAATCACTGCCAGACTCTCCCTTCTCATATGTTACAGATAGTGAAGCACAAAGCTGCTGCTGACATTTTCCCTCACTGATAGTATGAGAGAGTCTTTTCTCTCTTTCACACATTTATCTTAAATAGGTTCTTGCATTTAGACAAAAAGAAGGAACAGAAAAGGGCATTTGATGAGTTGTTAGATTTTCTTAAAGATAGAGGAGAGGGATAATAAATTTCTTAACATATGTCAGAACTTAACTATCTCCCACTGAACAGAACTGGTCACAATGCCAAGGGGATGGATGAGAAGTGGTAGTGCCTGGATGTTGATCTATGCCACAGACTTTAAATATCTGTTCAGAGATCTGGTAACTTATTAGTAATATCTGTTTTCAGTGGTCACCAAATCGTGAGGTATTCTTTTCCACAACTGAGACCATGTGTAATTTGAGAAATGCACTCATAATAGTAAAAATAATACAGTATTATTTGTTCATTCTTATGGTATCAGAATAATTTCATCCATTTTCCTTTGGTTCCTTGTAATTCTGCAGTAACATTTTATCAGTGAAGAAATAGAGACTCAGATAAGTGAGCTGTATGAAATATTACATTACAGTGGGAAATATTTTTTATGTATGTTATTGAATCTTGGGTTTTGGTATTTAATATTCCTATAAGAATAGGACTTTTTTCACGTTTTAAAAAGTTGAGGTGAAATTGACATAGCATTGAATTAACCATTTTAAAGTGAAGAATTCAGTGGCATTTATTATATTCACAATGTTGTGTAACCACCACCTCCATCTAGTTCCACAAGTTTTTCATCACTAAAAGGAAACCCCATACTCATTTAAGCAGTTGTCCCCCATTTTCCCCTCCTCCGGCCCCTGGCAACCATGAGTGTATCTTCTGTCTCTGGATTTACCTATTCTGGATATTTTACGTTAATGGAATCGTATAAAATGTGCTCTTTTGTGACTGACTGGCTTCTTTCGTTTAGCATAATGTTTTAAGATTGATGCGCGGTGTGATGTTTCAGTACTTTGTTTCTGATGGCTTGATAATATTCCAGTGTGTATGTGTACTATAATTTGCTTATCCTTTCATCCATTGACGGGCCATTTCCACCTTCTGGCTGATGTCAGTAGTGCTGCTGTGGTGTACATGTATTTATTTGGGTAGCTATTTTCAATAATAGGATTTTGGAGCACTACTTACATCCCTGGGGTTATCTAGTTCCCTGCTACTCAGAGAGTGGTCCAGAGACCACCACCGTGAGTATCACTAAGACCTGGTTAGAAATGGAGGTCTCAGGCCCACTCCAGACCTCCTGAATTAGAACTTGCATTTCAACAAGATCCAGGTAATTCATGGGCCCATTAACATTTAAGAAGTGGTAATCTAATCAGTCTTTGGACTAGCTACTTTACTAGTGTATAGTATTTTCATTAATCAGGAAATGTGATTTTCTTAAATTTCGGTCTGAGAAAATCTTCAGTAGAGCCCAGGGTTCCTGTGGACCGTATAACTTACTACCCATGCCTTTTTGCCACTGTGAAAACACACCAGTATAGAGTTAGGAGAGCAGCTGATAAACTTTTAGGAGACAACAGTGAGGGATGTCTACCTTTCATTCAAGTTTATAAGCAAGTGATTCATTCATAGACCTATGGAAATACTTTATTATTTTTTAAATTTTTTAATTTTTTCTGAAGAAGAGTCACCCTAAGCTAACATCTATTGCCAGTCTTCCTCTCTTTTGAATGTGGGTTGCTGCCACAACATTGGCTGAGGAGCGGTGTAGGTCTGTGGTGTGCATGGGATCTGAATCTGCAGACCTGGGCCACCAAGGCAGAGCATGCTGAACTTGAACCACTAGGCAATGGGGCCAGCCCGGTGGCGCAGCAGTTAAGTTTGCACATTCCGCTTCAGCAGCCCAGGGTTTGCCAGTTCAGATCCTGGGTGCAGACATGGCATTGCTTGGCAGGCCATGCTGTGGTAGGCGTCCCACGTATAAGGTAGAGGAAGATGGGCACAGATGTTAGCTCAGGGCCAGTCTTCCTCAGCAAAAAGAGAAGGATTGGCAGCAGATGTTAGCTCAGGGCTAATCTTCCTCAAAAAAAAAAAAAAGCATAGAAGTAGGCATTATCAGCCTAGGGTTCTTCTGTAATGGCTAAAATTTTTTAGCTTGGATCGCTTTGTGTAGGACAGAAGACCTAGAATCCATGTATATTCACTACTCCATTTTGAAAATGTCCCCCCAAATTAATAAAGTACATAGCCAAGTAAATTTTTCTTATTGTGACCATATTTTTAAGTATACATTCTTGCGACTTGTACTGTAGATTATAATTATACAATGGAAAGTTCACTAAATATATATTGTTGGCCAATCCATGAGGCAGGTAATCTTGAACCATCAGAGACTCTTTGCTGACTACATCTTGAAAATCACTGGTTTGAGGCACGGTAATTTAGAAGTGGTGATGGAAGTAATGTGTATATATGTATATACCCATTTGTGACCTCAAGATTTCAAATTTCAAGAACTAGACTTGTGCCTCTTATTTCCTAGAAGTGTATATCTGGCACTTAAAGGGTTCTGGGTCCTGTCCTGTTGAGTCTCATGGACAATTACAACTTGGCTATGAGCTAGACTAAGGAGTGGGCTGGAAAGGACTGGTATATACCAGCAGGGACATAGGGTGGGGCTCCAGGAGTGTCCAGTCTTTTCTCACCCTTGGTGAAGTGTTACTGCTCTGAGTTTATCTTAATGGACAGTAAGAACTGAATATGATTTTTATCAGCGGTAGTATTAGATGGAAGTTGGATTTGGCCAAACTGGTTTTAGATCTTGGGAGGTACACATCTGTGTATCCATGTATGTCTCTAAAATACACCTGCCCTTGTGAGTGCTTTTTAGTGGAGGAGAGACCTTTATTTTGCTTTCTTTAACCTCTTCATCCCTTCCTAAATTGGCATGATATATATATATAATTTTGTAGTGGAAGGAAGCTCAGAGATCATCCCAGTTCTGTGGGTCTCTCCTGCTAACTACACATTTGAATCACTTGGGGAAACATTTTTAAAGTACTTACTTGAGAGCACTAGAATGGAGAGCACTCCCAAGAGATTCTGATTTAATTGGTTTGGGTGGGCATTTTTAAAAAATTCCTCAAGTGATTCTGGCATCTGCCATCAAAAGGTGGAGTCGGATTGATCTCCTCTTGAATGGGGACCTGCCTCAGGACTCGTTTCTAAGAAATAGAACGTGGTGGAATGTGACACTGGATGACATGAGATTAGGTTAGAAATGGCAGTATAACTTCTATCTGGCTCTTGGGATGCTTGCCTCTGGAACCCAGCCACCATGTTGTGAGGAAGCCCAGGCTACATGTAGGTGTTCAGCTCACAGACCCTGGAAGGCTCTGACAACCAGCATCAACTGCCACACACAGGAGTGAGCAAGCCTTCAGAGGATTCCAGCCCCCCAGCCTTTGAGCCACTCATCTGATACCAAACTGTGCAGTTTGCAGATTCATAAGCAAAATAAATGGTGGTGGTGGTCTAAGCCACTAAGTTATGGAGTGTTGTATTGCATAGCAGTAGATAGCCAGACATAATATAATATTAAAGAATTCTGTTTTTTTATTGAGGTCACATTGGTTTATAATATGTAAATTTCAGGTGTACATCATTATATTTCAACTTCTGTGTAGACTATATCGTGTTCACCACCAAAAGTCTAGTTGCTATCCGTCATGACACAAATGTCCCCCTTTACCCCTCTCACCCTTCCCCCATCCCCCTTCCTCTCTGGTAACCACCAGTCTGTTCTCTGTATCTATATGTTTGTTTTTTGTTGTTTTTTATCTTCCACATATGAGTAAAAGCATGCAGTATTTGTCTTTCTCCATCTGACTTGTTTCAGTTAGCATTAAAGAATTTTAAACATTCATTCATGCCCCACAGCCTATAAACTTAAAAATTTTTTGTGTGCATCACCTTTCACTCTGGCAGTATGTGTCCATATTTTATGGTTGTGTTAATAGCATGTATGTATAATTTTGTATCTATGTTTTCTTTGGGGATTTTATCAGCCATTTTTACATTTTACTAGATAATCTTCATAAAGATTATTAAAACTGGGTATCTAATGGTCCATGCAGTACATATACCTGTGCTTTTGGAGGATCTAAGTAAGCCCTGTCTTAACAGCTAGTTTCCCCTGTTAGTTCGTCTTTCTGTATAAAGGAGCCTTGGTATACCTGCCGAGCAGGTAATGTAGAGTCTGGGTGGGTCAGCGTCTGTTCTGTTCCCTCTCCTGGAAGCTTAACTCAGTGCAGGTCCTGTTGATGCCAAATTGCTGAAGGTGGTCGAGTGCAGAGGACAGCATGTTACTTAAAGTGTTTGAGTTATCTTAATGTTTGTGCTTCAGATTTACCCTCACTACAGTGGCGTTGGTGTTATTTGGGGTAGAGTTCCTAGGAGTGGACTTTCAACTAAGTCGAGAATGATTTGGAAAAGGGCAGAGAAGAAAGCCTGGATATAAAGGAGAAAGATAAATGACCTGAGTTTTCTTGCCTGATGTGAAAGGGATTGATCAGGTCAGGTTAGAGAAGATGGGACATTTGTCAGCTGGTTGACATTACACTCCCAAGTGTAGTCAGTTGGGACCGAGTGGGGGCTGTGAGGAAGTTGGAGGTGGTGGGGCAGTGGTGTGATGGCGTGAGTTTTTGAGTCTAGTGCCCTCTGCTTGAATACCAGGGCTTTTCTTCCCAGCTCTGAAACTGTCGTCAGACTTTCCGATCTGCCTTCTCATCTAGAGAGTGGGAGTAGTAATACCTACTTCACATGGTTGTAGGGAAAGAGGTCATGTTAACCAGGCCTGTCCTCCTTACCCCAGTGAGAAGGCTGATTTTAACTTAACCTTTAGTAACTTAAAGGATGAACTGAGGGAGATGAGAATGCGGTTGTGGTGGGGACGGTCACAGGAAGTAGTTTTAGGTTTTATCATTTCAGGTCTGTCTGTTCATAGGGAGACTTTGAGGAAGAGAAATATTGGGAGTTGATTAATTACATGCAGCCCTTACTGACTGCCTACTATGCAAAGCAGTCAGTTAGACTGCAGGAATGCAAATATGGGTAAGTTCCGGCTTCTGCCACTCAAGGTGTTGATAGTTCGGTAGGAAGACAAACGTATGCATTCACAACTAAGTTAGAATGTGATTGCCAATTACAGTGCACAGCGAAGATCAGCTCTGACTGGAGGAATTGTGTAGACAGCATTTCATACAAAATTTGGCATTTGAGCTAGATCTGAAAAAGGAAAGAGCATTCTAGAAGTGCAGTGGGTAAAGATGAGAAAGTACAGGCTTGTTTAGAGATGGTACATAGTTCAGAAGAGAAAAAAACATTTGGTGCATGGTGGGAATGAAGTAGATGATAAAACAAAGTGTGTCTTTGGGCCTGGAGAAGCCGTTGGAAGTTTCTGAGTAGAGAAGTGATGTGAGCAGCCTGGCAGCATGTGTTCGGATGGATGGGGGGGAGGAACAAGCAGTTAAACAGCCATCGCCTTAGTGTAGGCAGAAGAGTGAGCAGTGAGCGGAGCGAGGGGCACGACGCAGCTGTGAGTGCCCTTCAGGGGAGGACTGCGCACTGAGTGACAAATGAGGAGCCCGAAGGCGTGGGTGAGCAGCACCACAGGAGGAGGGCTGGAGGCAGGGGCGCCCTTGGGGCTGGGGGGCAGCTGTCTTTATCCTCCATGTGCCGGATGATGAGGGCTGGACCCAGGTGAGAAGGGGACCAGCGGGTGATTGGAGACGGGAGGGCGCCCCTTTTGTAAGGTCAAGTGTGTGGATTGGACAGTAGCTACAGAGATTATGGCTGACACAGGGAGAGACTTGGTAAAGATGTAGTCTTCGTGTGGGAAATAGAAGGCGATGGATGAGGGGAGCGGATTTTTGTAAGCATCTGATTCTTGGGGTTTGTGTAGTTAGTCATGGGAAAAGGCCCAGGAGGCTGACTGAAGGAGGGAAGCTCTGCGCTGAGACTAGTGTTGCCACGACAGTTACACCTTACTCCTGTGAGTGGTTCCCAAGTTGGAGTGTTCTGTAGAGTGAAGAACCAGCAAAAAGGCCATCATGCGCATTTCTAAGGGCTGGGCCTTCGTTTCACCTGCCAAGCTTTGCATTGGGTTTAATGTTACCTGAGAGTCCAGCATTGTTAGTGTCCTAAAATGATCTCCTCCGTCTGGGAGAAGCTGAAAAGGGAATAAGGAACCTGATACTGAATAGCATAGTAAATGGCATCTCAGATCAGGAGAAGGGAGAGGAGGTTTATAGGGAAATGAGCTCCGAACCTAGGAGTCTCAGTTTTATTCTGGATGTCTGAACACTCTACTTAAATTCACAGTGTGGAGAAGCCACTTCTGTGGCCGTCAGACGTCGCTGACATACAGGGCTCCTTTCATTCAGGCCTGTGCACCAGGGTGAAGTAATCCAAGTCACTGGCCAGCCATTCTTTAACAGGCTGCTCCCAGCCAGCCCCCAGGTTCCTTCAACCCTGCCCTCTTTCCCTACTTTTTTTTTTTTTTTTTTTTGAGGAAGATTAGCCCTGAGCTAACATCTGCTGCTAATCCTCCTCTTTTTGCTGAGGAAGACTGGCCCTGAGCCAACATCTGTGCCCATCTTCCTTTACTTTATATGTGGGACGCCTACCACAGCATGGCTTGACAAGCGGTGTATAGGTTCCACACCCGGGATCCAGGCCGCTGAAGCGGAACATGCGAACTTAACCACTGAGCCATCGGGCCGGGATCCCCCCCAACACACTCTTGACTTTGGGCAATTCTTTTTTTTTTTTCTGCTTTTTCTCCCCAAATCTTCCCAGTACATAGTTGTATATTTTAGTTGTGGGTCCTAGTTGTGTGGGACACAGCCTCAGCATGGCCTGATGAGTGGTGCCGTGTCCATGCCCAGGATCCAAACTGGCGAAACCCTGGGCCACCAAAGTGGAGCGCGTGAACGTAACCACTTGGCCATGGGGCCGGCCTCTGGGCAGTTCTTTCCTAGGCACGGAAACATTTTGTAAGGTACCTGAAGTTTGAAAAAGTAAAGCTAGAAGTAAAAGTAGGTGGGCAAGGGGATGTCTGTGACAGAGCTTTGTCGCAGAGCTAGGAGATGTAGAATCTCATTTAACCAGTACCTTCCCAATTAAAACAAAAACCCACAGCCATCTCAAATTTTGCATAGTGCAGCAGTCCTCACTGACATGAAGTCCTCAAGGGGCGTGATGTCAGACATTCCTGCCTGTTGCTCTAAGTATCGGAGGTGTCAGGACAGAACCACATTTTTCTGATTCTGACCATGCTTGCAATACCAACACAGAGTCTTAGCCAAAATGGAAAACCCTAAACTCTAGTTGAGTGATCTGTGTGCCAGGGCTGTTGTCAACTCTCTTATCCTTTATTCACCTCTTCCCTGGATGGAATTCATCTTCCTCCATTTGGGGGGTTATATATACATTTTCTTCTAGAAAAAAATCATCTGTACACAGAGCCAAAAGACATCAATGGCTAAATATCTGATATAGAACATGGGTTATGTGAGTTTCCTTGCCTTAGACCTTGCCTTGAGTGGGTGTCTCTGTAAGCCATCTGTTTTTTCTAAAACTGTTTTAGAAGAAACTCTTTGATGTTTGAAGAAGTTTCCAGATGAGGTCAGATCACTGGTTAGACTCGTGTCCGTGCTGGTTCTGGCTCTCGCGGACACCTAAGGCTCTGCCACAGACTCTGCGTGTGCTTCAGGCCGTGTGCATTCTGCTGTGTCGGGATGGGAGGGCTCTTGCCCACCTTGCATCACCATGGAGACAGGTTTGAAATGACGCTTTTTAAGGTATCTCTGCTATTTCTTTGACTCCTAGTGGACATAACTTTGTGTGCAGTGATAACACCTGCTAGTAGGGAGTAAGTGAGCTCGTGTCTCCAGCGGTCCTGATTTGATAGTGGGAGAGACCCAGCCTCTGTCTTCCTATAGTTAAAAGGATTTTAGTGAAGGAAGGGAAGCCCTAGGAAGAGCCTCTCTTTTCTAGCTCTCTTCTGGAGTCCCTTATTATTTCAATAATAATGAGGACAATTAGGGCATTTTATAGTTTCCCAAGTTGTGTCACATATATCTCATTTGATCCTGAGTGATCCCATGAAGTAGGAGGTTGACATACCATTCTGTTTTGTAGATAGAAAAGACCAACATTCAGAGCGTTGGAATGAGTTGCTTAAGGGACATAGCATACATGCCAAACTTGGGATTTGAACCTAGAATTTTTAATCTCTTAATAGTGTTCTTTTCTTTTTCTTTCTTTCTTCTTTTTTTTAACACTAAGCCCCTCAGGCCTTTCTGTGTCAGATGTGAAGTTCTCCTGTTAAAAGGTTACTCAGGGTGAATGGACAGTCCAGACATAAATATTATTTAAATCCTTTACTTGAAAACTAAAATCGTTGCTTTCTCGGAATAATTTGGGAAGTAGGCAGCGTTGTGTGGCAGGCAGTAGCTTAAAGGATGCTTTACGTGGTGGTTTGTGAATAGTTGCTGTTTGGCAGGAAGGAAGGAGTGTGTGAGGTGTGTGCACTGTTGGCTGGTGAGTGCCTTGAGGAACATGGAGACAGATTTAGGCAGTGAGAAGCAGGCCTGAGAAACCCACCCAAGCTCCTTAGTTTCCAGCTCTTTCCTTTAGGTGACTTAACTTTTGGTCCTCCTTATCAAGGAGGGGGCTGCTCTAGGAGGAGAGGGCTTTGAGTCTCCATTTAGAATGAATGCTTTCTTGGTTACGATCCGATCTCAGGTGACTGGGCTTGAGGCTTTCACAGCATGGAAATGGAGGTGTTCTCTGAAGGAAAAGATCTCATTCTTGTTGATTGCCGTTTTTCCCCCACAGTGGGCCACCTTGAGAATGGAGAGAGGAGCCAAGGAGAAGAACCATCAACTTTACAAGCCCTATACCAACGGTAAGACTGGGACTAAATCCTTGTCCTAAGAGATCCCTTTGAGATATGTTCCTGGGAGCTTTTAATTCCACACCTGCTCTTCCCCATCTAAGAGCAGGATGTGTACTCTCAGTATTTTTAACATGCGTTCTCCCACTGTGCTGCTTGACAGGGGTGTTCTCTTTTGCAGGAATCATTGCAAAAGATCCCACTTCACTGGAAGAAGAGATCAAAGAAATTCGTCGAAGTGGTAGTAGTAAGGCTCTGGATAATACTCCAGAGTTTGAGCTCTCCGACATTTTCTACTTTTGCCGGAAAGGAATGGAGACCATTATGGATGATGAGGTGACGAAGAGATTCTCAGCAGAGGAGCTGGAGTCCTGGAACCTGCTGAGCAGAACCAATTATAACTTCCAGTATATCAGCCTTCGGCTCACTGTCTTATGGGGCTTGGGAGTGCTGATTCGGTATTGCTTCCTTTTGCCGCTCAGGTGAGGGCAGGGCCTGATGGGGACAGACTTGAGCTGCTGCTGCCTAAGCCTGATGCAGGATCCCCCTACCTCGGTCTCCTCGCTTTGTTTTCCCATTTTAGAAAGAAGGATAATGTGATTCTTTCACTGGCCAGTCCTTCTGACTCTTGGAAGGGTACTGTGCTGGTTATCCTTTAAAGGCCCTTGGATTCTCTGCCTATCAGACAGAAATAGTTTGGGGTCTTAAAGACAGAGTGCTTGTCCAGGTGGACTAAACACAGGGACAGGGAACACAATGTCCTTTCTGGCCACTCCTCCTGGACACAGCTAACTCTTTCCTCCAGCGTGCCTCTCTGGTGCAGAGGCAATATTGATCTCTGAGTTTTTCTGTACCATGTGCTGTTCTGAGTCTCTCTTGCCAGATGCTGGTACCTTCAGACTCTATTTCCTGTTGCTTCACAGAGAAGCTGTGCTTCTGCCAGGGTTTAAAGCCAAAGGGAAGGGTAAGACGGCAGGGCAGCAGGTGCCTGAGGGCAGAACAGCCAACGTTAGGATTTTCCATCATTTTGGCTGCCTGATGCCTGAGGAGATTGTGTCAGCTGAAAGCCGGCTCCGTAGTTCACTGTGAGCTGGAATCAGAATGATCTCTGGCTCTGATAGGCCCTCTCAGTTTCCAGATGGAGCTCTTCTCTAGGTCCCGGGTGATGGGATCATGGGGTGGTTTTCATGATACCCATTTTCATTTCACACATTCAGTTCTATACTAGGTGCGAGCATTTGTTGGCTGTGTTTTAACTTGTCTTCTTGTTACAGGATAGCTCTTGCTTTCACGGGCATTAGCCTTCTGGTGGTAGGCACAACCATGGTGGGATACTTGCCAAATGGGAGGTGAGTCGAGTGCGAGTGTCCACGTCTGAAGGGTTCTTACTTCTGGGATTGCTGGCTCCAATATTGAAGGCCAGCCTGCTGCTTTGGGTACAGCCAAATCCACAGAATCTTAGGTGGATAAAATAACCCAGTAATCACAGTGGCATCATCATTAAAGTCTTATTTTTTACTGATCCTGCTCTGTGACTGTTCTTTGTGCCCTCCGAGACTCACACTCTTCCCATTTTAAAGACAAAAGGGAGAAACGACAAAACTGTAGTTCCGGGTGAGCAGATTTTATAGCATATTGTTTAGTTTTGAGTATTCTGCTGTGTCGATAAATTGGGGGCAAGAAATGTACGTAGGGCTCTTTTGTTTGTTTTTTTAAAGACGAATTTGCTCCTTCTGGTAAAGTTCCAGGGCTAGTAAAGCTCTCTTCCACCCGGGCTGCTGAGGAGGTTTGCCTGCTTCCGCCTGCCTAGGTGCTGCTGGGAGGGGAAGGGATCTAGGAGACTCACCTGTGCTGGGAATTCAGGGCTGTGAATGCTGACCCCGTTAACTCAGGTGAATTTAAGCAGTTCTCGTCATTTCTGTTCGTTCATGTGTAGACATAAAGATGCTAATTCCTCACAGGGTTTTACCATATATACTAATATCTATAAAGATACTTTGCAGTCATAAAGGACTCTAGGCAGTGATAGTTAAATTGTTGGAGTCAGCAGTTTTTCCTGTCTTCTTTATGTACACTAAAAACAAAAACGTCTGTCCTGTTGCTCCAGGTTTAAGGAGTTCCTGAGTAAACACGTCCACTTAATGTGCTATCGGATCTGCGTGCGAGCCCTGACGGCCATCATTACCTACCACGACAGGTGAGGTTGCTCTGTACAATCAGAGGGACGTGGTGCTGGTGAAACATGCCCGACTCTGGCAGGTGGGCGGGGCTCCTCTGAGCGCTCAGTCAGAGCCTCTGGGGCTGCCGAGGTGCGGGCTGAGTTCCAGATGAGTGGTTTCACACTAATTTTTGTTGCTTTGCATTTTAAACACAGGAAAAACAGGCCTAGGAACGGTGGCATCTGTGTGGCCAATCACACGTCTCCTATTGACGTCATCATTTTGGCCAGCGATGGCTATTACGCCATGGTAAGACCTCTTTCTCTGGCTTTCCTAGGGTGGGCCTTCTTACATTAGACTGGTCAGGTCTGGGAGGCTCTGGACCCTTCACGTAGCTCTTTCTTTAGGGTACAAACAGGTAAACGTATTTTTGCACATGTTTACACCTTTAGGCGACCTCAGTTGTCACCTTTGTTTCTGTTGCTTTGGGGAACTCCTTGGGACTTCGGTAGGAGATGTCCGGAGCAGAGTCACTGAGAGCGTGGTTGGAGATCAGACTGTAGATATTTAGGTGGACTATAGAAAATGGTGACCGGTGGGGAAGGAGGATTTGAAAGGACTGAGTCAGGGGCGTTGAAGAATCTGCTCAGGGAGAGCGTTGTTACACAAGGTATTGCTCAACTTCATTATTTCCTTTTAGGGTTTTCAGCTATGTTCTTAATTACACATCTTTGGAATCACTGACTAAAAGGAGAAATTTAAGATTCAGGTAGTTTAATAGTGGTTTCTTAGTAGTGAGAAACCTTTATGGTTATCAATAGAATGTTAGAGGGTGAAAGGTTGGGGTACTTGTGGGGTTGGGGGCTTCCTCCACAGAGTGGGGGATTTGTGCAACGATGGCTTCACCACCAGTTGTTCCCTTGTCTGTGATTAGGTGGGACAAGTGCATGGTGGCCTCATGGGTGTGATTCAGAGAGCCATGGTGAGGGCCTGTCCTCATGTCTGGTTTGAGCGCTCAGAAGTGAAAGATCGCCACCTGGTGGCTAAAAGGTAAGCCAGCAAGATTGTGCTGTTCTGTATGACCAGTTGTAGAGAAAGGATGCATTTTAGGGGTAGTTATCCCTCCGCAGTGGAGTTACAGCATCTTCTACACCAATCCTATACTGCGTTCATAATAAAAAAAATTTTTTTTGACATGGAATATAAAAAATATAGAAACCCTAGTATTGTTTATCGAGTTAGTAATGTTTCTTAACCAGTTTTGTTGTACTCATTGTAATAAACAGCATATGAACTTTTTAAAGAAAACTATTGAGATTGCAGTAGTTTATGACATTGTGAAATTTCAGTCGTACGTTGTTTGTCAGTCACCATATAATCGTGCCCTTTTACCCCTTATGCCACCCCACAACCCCCTTCCCCTCTGGTAACCACTAATCTGTTCTCTTTGTCCATGTATTTCTTTATCTTCCACATATGAGTGAAATCACGTCGTGTTTTTCTTTCTCTATCTGCCTTATTTCACTTAACATAATACCCTCAAGGTCCATCCGTGTTGTTACGAATGGGACGATTTTGTCCCTTTTTTTTAATGGCTGAGTAGTATTCCTTTGTGTATGTATACCACATCTTCTTTATCCATTCATCCATTGATGAGCACTTGGATTGCTTCCACTTTCTGGCTATAGTGAATAATGCTGCAGTGAACATAGGGGTGCGTAAGTCTCTCTGAATTATTTCAAGTTCTTTGGATAAATAGCTAGTAGCTGGGTCATAGGGTATTTCTATTTTTAATTTTCTGAGAAATCTCCATACTGTTTCCCTTAGTGGCTGCACCAGTTTGCATTCCCACCAGCAGTGTATGAAGGTTCTCTTTTCTCCACATCCTCTCCAACATTTGTTATTTTTTGTCTTGGTAATTATAGATGTTGTAATGGGTGTGAGGTGATATCTGATTGTGGTTTTGATTTGCATTTCCCTAATGATTAATGATGTTGAGCATCTTTTCATGTGTCTGTTGACCATCTGTGTATCTTCTTTGGGAAAATGTCTGTTCACATCCTCTGCCCATTTTTTGATTGGGTTGTTTTTGTTGTTGTTGTTGAGTTGTGTGAGTTCTTTATATATTACGGAGATTAACCCCTTGTTGGATGTATGATTTGCAAACATTTTCTCCCAGTTGGTGGATTGCCTTTTCATTATGTTCCTGGTTTCCTTTGCCTTGCTGAAACTCTTTAGTCTGATGAAGTCCCATTTGTTTATTTTTTCTTTTGTTTCCCTTGCCTGAGTAGACAGGGTATTTGAAAAGATGCTTCTGAGACCAACGTCAGAGTGTAGTGCCTATATTTTCTTCTAGGAGTTTTATGGTTTCATGTCTTACCTTCAAGTCTTTGATCCATTTTGAGTTAATTTTTGTGTATGGTGAAAGATAATGGTCTACTTTCATTCTTCTGCATGTGGCTCTACAGTTTTCCCAGCACCATTTGTTGAAGAGACTTTCCTTTCTCCATTGTATGTTCTTGGCTCCTTTGTCGAAAATTATCTGTCCACAGATGAAACAGCATATGAACTTTTAATGCTATTTGAAATCTCAAAATGAGTTTATCACAAATAAAAACACACTTAAGGCAATGGAACAAGGTCCTGCTCTGTTTTCAAGCTTGGAAAAAAGGTCAGTATAGTACAAGCGATGACAGGAGCTTTGCAGTAAATGGAGAGGAATCAGGACGCAGCTGAGACCATCTTTGCTGGGGACAGATGAACCCGCCACTAAATTCCCTTTGCTGCGTCTTTAGGGACAGTGTTGGCCAGGTGGACTGTAGGTCCAACCCAGCATGGCTGTCAGGAAGTTCGGTAGCAGGTATTTATTCAGGGTGCTCTTGGCAGGGCCTTGTGGCAGGCGTGTCCTTTGTGCAGTCCCCAGTCTGAACAGTGTCCTCTGTGCAGAGACTGTAATACTTAATTGAACAGTTGTATGGATTAAATAGTGATCTGATTTTCCCTTCTAAGTTTTGTCTTTATGAAATAAAGATTGTGGGTTCATGAAAGGTAGGATCATATTTGTTAACTTGCTTTTGTACCACCTAGTGTCACATGTATGTAGATTATTCCTCAATGCATTTTGATGATGATGCACGTAAGGCTGTCTGACCCTTTGTTTTACTTTTCTCTCCTGAAGACTGACTGAGCATGTGCAGGATAAAAGCAAGCTACCCATCCTCATCTTCCCAGAGGGTAAGAAGGCTGCTCACCACAGGGGTCTTCTGTGTGGGGCAGCCCTGCAGGCTGGGGTCTCTGCTGTGTCCTTGGAACCAAGTCTCAACCTTTGTTGGGATGTCTGTTTTCACTGCCTAATGTTAGGTCCCCTTTAAGTTGGTTGTGGGACTGAAAACTCAGGGGAATTCAGAATTTGGACTAAGATTGCCATAGTGTGAACTCCCCCAGTGCAGAAATCCCATCCTTCTATTGTCGTCAGGGTGTCATCTTCTTGTGGAGTTCTTACTGAGACCTCCCAAGTCTGCTGAGTGTCTCTGGCCTTTATCTAGGCTGGTGTGTGTGAATCAGTGAAATGGTCTTGTAATCAGAGGATGGGAAACAGTACAGTATTTTGCCCATCTCTTTTAGGTGTTCATTTATGAGCTAGGGAGATGACAGGTTTATCCTGTTTGAAGGGCCATTAGAAGAATTTTTATTATATTTAGTCATTAAACTCCTAATCTCTGGGGTAAAGGACCAAAAGAAATAGCATTTTACTCTCTCCTGCATTTTAGGAACCTGCATCAATAATACATCGGTGATGATGTTCAAAAAGGGAAGTTTTGAAATTGGAGCCACCGTTTACCCTGTTGCTATCAAGGTACATGACCTCTGAGGGTGTGTGTGGTCGTTACTGCAGCTGCCGTGCATGGGATGCAGCAGGACAAGGTGGAGGAAGGAGCAGTCAGTGGGTTGATCCACTCCAGCGGGCAGCCTGGGGCTGGGTGAGTGTGGGTAGGATGCTAGAGAAGGAGAACGTGACACTGTTCATTACCTAGTTGAAGAGACTAGGGAGAATTTGAATGAGGCACAGCCAGATTCCAGCCCATACCTTGCTCTCACCACCAGGTTCAGGAGCTGGCGCACCCTTCATAAACTGTGTGTATTCCCCCCATTACCTTTTTCTTCATAAACCCAACTAGAATGTAAGGTGCTTCACTTGAAGAGGTGGCTTGCTGAAGGGAGGGGCTGGCGGGTATGGCTGCTCGAGTGGATCTAATAGAGAGGTGAGGGTGGATGGGTGCAGCTGTATCCTCATTCCTGAAGGAAGACTACCTCCGCTGCTTTGGGTTGTCGTATCATCTTTATAAACCAAGGACAGCTTATAAGCATGAGACACATCTAAGAGCTTGTACCTCTGACTGTTCCAGCTTACCCAGAGATGAGATCCAGTTAGCCAGTCAGTTTCCCTTTTTCCCCCTTCACATTCTTCTGATTTTATAGATAGCCACATAGTAGTATTTCTAAAAGAATGTTATTACGTTGTTACTTCTAAAAAACACAGGCTATTGTCCATATGTTTAAAGTATTTAGGTTGGAATCTCGGATTAGCGTAAAGCATTGTTTAAGTTCGGGTCAGAGTTGTGCTTAGGATTTCGTCTCTATGCTTTTGCAGGCGTGCCTCTGCAGAGCATTCTGTAGAAATATTCCTCATTTTCACTCTGCAGCACAGCAGGTGCAGTTGGGAAAGAGGTGTTCCTCTTGGTTAAGCAAGTGCTTGCCAGCCACTCCCCTTTTACCAGGAGTCAAAGCACCAGGGCAGGGATGGCAGATGATGACCGCAGGGAAACCGAGCTATGGGTTAGGGCTGCCCGAGCGATGTGTCAAGGATGCTGTGTCTGGGAACAGCAAGAAGGAAAACAGTCTGTCAGCAGTGTCTTCTGTGGGTGTGGGAACAGGAGTGGTGTTTGTGTCACACGCATTTTAACATTTTGGTGGTCCAGTGCTTCACCACGTGTTTATCAAAAACAGACTAGTAGGTAGAAGCCCTGATCACTCACTCCAGAGCTTCGGTTCTTTCCAGCTGCGTTAGCATCACCTGGAGGGATGTGCCAATGCTGGGCCCCATGCCCAGCATTTCTGAACCTGCATTTCTGATCTGTTCCTGTGTGCTGGTGATGCTGCTGTCGAGAACCACGCTGCAAGAACCCTGCTCTGGAGCAGTGGTTCTTAACCAGTTTTGGGACGTGGACCCTTGAGACGGTTACGACTCCTTTCCAAAGAAAAACGTGTAAATTTTACGTATGCTTTCATTCCGTTCACGATTTATTGAAGCCCATGGGGGATCCACAACTTGCGCTGCGCAGATGTTTTCCTAGTTGTTGGGAAGCCTTCATTGGTAACCAGACTTGAATAACCTTAGCTATTTCAAGGCTCTTTTAACATTTTCAGTAATATTAAGCCATTATCTGATTTTGAGGAATTTATTGCTATTTTGAGCTTTTGCCTTGTTTTTCTCTCAGGTGTCTGCCTAGCCTGGAATAGAATCAACCCTAAACAAAGGATCCTCACACTCACACATAATATCACATTTTTTATCCTTATAGTGCTTTATAAAATATAGCACCACTTCCTTCCAGTCATACTCATTTGCTTCTGTTTAAAACTCATTCTTCTCCCTTGTTTCCTTTTGGTATTATACTGTGAGCTCCTTAAGTTTTCTGTAGTTAAATCTAAATTTCTTAGTTTGTATAATTAAATCTAAATGTCTTCACTTTTGTAGTCAGGTCCTCAACTAGGCATAATTATCCATTTTCTGCTCTGAGGATCATAAAATTTAGGCTTGACAGGCCTAAAAGATCATACAGTTGAAGTGCCACCCCCACCCGCAGCATCCCTGCCAGCGTCCCTGCTCCGGCTCTTCCAGGGAAGGGCGTTTTTGACGCTGGTGACAGCTTGGTCCTGTGGGATAACTCTTGAAATTGTGTCCTTTTATTTTGTCACTCCCTGGTCCCAGGGCTTCACTTTATCATTACACACAGTCAGTCTGTGGTAGCCCCTCAGACTTTTGGTAGGAGTTCCTCTGTTCAGGCATTCTCCTCAAGAACTCAGTCCCTTTTGTTGCTTCGTATGTCACTTCCTCGAGCACCACTCCCAGCCTGCTTACCTGCCACTTGCATTCTTCTGTTTGGGGAGAGTGAGGGGCACAGCTGCAGCCGGTTTCCCACAAAATGCGTGAAGGACAGCCTTGGCCTCTGCTAGTCACTGGCAGAGGAAGGCACATGACCCCCTGGTTGTGGGTGGGAAGTGCGGCACCTGTGTGGCAGGGACCTTGTGAGCTGTCGCCATGTGCCCACTTGCTGGTGAACACTGGTGGCTTCCTCAAAGCAGAGCCACCTCCTCAGCAGATGAGCTGTGTTATAAGTGTAATTACAGAAGCGTATCGTAAGATTTTTAATTGTTTTCTCCTTGGTCTGGGGCACCAGAAGTTAAAAAGTTGGTAGTTGTATAAGAAAATATCTTTATTGGGGAAGGTACATGAAGACGTATTTATGAGTGAATGACGTGATGTTGGGGCGAGGGTTTATAAGAGGGGAGGGGATAGAGGAGGCAAGTATGGTGAACTGTTGGTAATTACTGAGTCTGGGGAATGGCTATATGAAAGTATATTATCCTATTCTCTCTGTTTTTGGGTATGCTTGAAAACTTAAATAATAGATTCTATACACCTGTGAGTGAGTAAGACACGCGACTAACCCCAGGAGGAAGGACATGTGTTTGAGGAAGGCTGTTAGGTATTCTCCCTAATGCCCACAGCAGACTCTGGGGTCAGTCAGGAGAGGTTGGTGTTGCTGGAGGTGAGAACCGCCCAGATGTAGGATTCCTTCGGAATGTTCGTGGAGGGGTCTGGCAGCAGCTTTCTAATACTCATACTGCCCCCCACCTGATGCACTCGGAAAAGTGGCTGTTGACACACACACGTTGTTACCATTTAGCTTGCCGTTGCCTTTTAGTATGACCCTCAGTTTGGTGATGCCTTCTGGAACAGCAGCAAATATGGGATGGTGACATACCTGCTGAGAATGATGACCAGCTGGGCCATTGTCTGCAGTGTTTGGTACCTGCCTCCCATGACCAGAGAGGTAGGTTCCCACACCGGGCAGAGGTCTTCAGCTACCTCTGTGGGACCTCTGTTGAGTGGTCTCACTCCTTCTTTTCTTACAGACAGATGAGGATGCCGTCCAGTTTGCCAATAGGGTGAAAGCGGCCATCGCCAGGCAGGGGGGACTCGTGGACCTGCTGTGGTGAGTCCGAGCCAGCCTGCGCCCGCTGAGTCTGGGAACACGAACTTCCGGAGCAAGCGCTGAAGGCTTGACTCCATTTACAAAGACGACTCCTCTCTCTTCCTGGTGTGGAGGATTGAGCCTCCCAGCTCTGGAGAGTGAGCACTTTGACTCCTTTCTCCTGGTTCCAGCTCAGAAGTGCCCCATGTTACGTATTGACCTTGAGGAACATGGAGCCCAGCAGGCTTCGACTGAAATTGTTGAGTCTGTGTTCCTTTCTGGGGTGTGTACCGGTCTACCAGGGCACCCAAATAGTTTTTGTCTCTTTAGGTAGAGTGACCTGATGCTGATCTGGAAACCTCATAGGAGTACTGGGCTCTCTGAGCCCATGACCTTTAGCAAAACTGGACCATCCTTAGAAAGGCAGAAGTTGTATGTATTGCATTTAGCTTGTTCCCTCCTAGAGCAGGAGTTGACAAACTTTCTCTGTAAGGAGTCAGTAAATACTTGAGACTTTGTGGGCTGTGTGGCCTCTGTTGTAACTGCTCAACTCTGCCATTGTGGTGTGAAAGCAACCAGAGACAATACATGGACGATGAGCGTGTCTGTGTTCCAGTAAAACTTTACTACAAAAACAGGTGTCAGCTAAGTTTGGCCCATGGGCCATAGCTCCGTAGACCCTTATGCTACATAATGAGATGATCAGCTTCTAAATAGCAGGAGAGTAACTGGGATGAAGGCTGGTTCAGGGGAACCTTTCCACCTGCAAGGACTCTTAGTTTTAAGTGCAAGGGCCAGCTCTGAAGGCCATTTGACTAAAGTGGGCATTATAGGAAAAGAAGCTGTAGTAATTCAAGTTTTAAACTGACCTGTGGATTCTTAAGTAATAGCATGGCCCTCAGATTATGGCCTTTTTAAAAATGCTAACATTTATTGAGCAATTCCTGTGTGCCAGACACTGTGTCGTTGGTGCTTTACATGATGGCCTCACTTCATCCTACAGTAACTCCATAAGGGATAAAACTGTTACTCCCATTTTACGTGATGGCCTCACTTCCATCCTGCAGTAACTCCATGAGGGATAAAACCGGTACTCCCATTTTACGTGATGGCCTCACTTCCATCCTACAGTAACTCCATGAGGGATAAAACCGTTACTCCCATTTTACGTGATGACCTCACTTCATCCTGCAATAACTCCATGAGGGATAAAACTGTTACTCCCATTTTACAAGTGAGAAGTTGAGACTCAGAGTCTCAGTAACTGTTGTCACAGACTAAGCACCAGAGCCAGATTTTAGGCTCAGGTCCGACAGGCTGCTGGAGCTGGAATGTTCCACCACTGCTCCATGTTCCCTGTCACTGAGGCCTGGTAAAGACAAGGGGCTCCTTGCTTACAGTGCCTTTGCTGTGGGTTCTCGAGTGCGTAGCAGATGTGCATCTCCCTAGTGTAAGTCTGTCAGTGGTAGGGCTTCATCAGAGACTTTTTCCGCCACTACCACCAACATAATTAAAAAAAAAAGTATAGCAGAAAGACAAAAGTTGGCTGGGATTTTCCTTAGTTACTGCAGGTGATGCTAATTCTAGAGTTAGGCAAGGAGGTGGGATGACGGTGGGAGTGGGACCTTGAAGAAGCAAGTCCAAGTGTGCAGGATTTATTTGGGGTGTTGGAGGAGGTGCTGGGGTGTTAGCCCAGAACTCTGAGAGTCACTTGGGTTCCCTTACACTACCGGCCCTTGAGCGCAGAAGCAGTAAGAACTTGTATTTCCCCTCGTGTTCGTTGTTTGGGTGAATTTGGAGAATCCTTGGGTCTGATTTTACAGGTTTTATTTCACAGATAAATCTTACAGATTCATTCTAAGTCTCAATATTTCCTAAGCTTGGCTCAGCTTCCATGGTGCCAGAATGCCTCCTTTATCTTTTGTCAGGTGGCGATGAATGTTCCAGTAGAATTTTAAACTCCTTGGTAGACTAAGCAATTACAAAGTGCCTTCAGTATGGGTAGGGAATTCTGACCCCAGGGCAGGAGTGAGAGTTTAAGGTAGAAAGGGCGCATTCCAGGAGTCCAGGGCCAGTTTCTGAGGTTGTGCTGATGAGAGCGCCCTGGAGTCCTTTTGTTTCTGGTGGGTTTTTCTTGGTGTTTGAGCAGCATGTGCATCTGGCTGTGGCGCGAGGGCGGGTGAGAAGCCTGCTCTGCTGTTACAGCCAGTCTTTCTGCCACCAGGGATGGGGGGCTGAAGAGGGAGAAGGTGAAGGATGCATTCAAGGAGGAGCAGCAGAGGCTGTACAGCAAGATGATTGTTGGGAACCACGAAGACAGGAGCCGGTCCTGAGCCCATGGTCGCACCGGCTGGGGCTGCCGCGCCTGAATCCTGACACGTGAGCCAGCTGGAGTTGTCACCGCCTCTGCCCCCACTGCTGCATCCTTTCCAGACTCCAGGGCTCTTCCGGCTGCTCTGGAGCCCAGGACTCCAGCTTCTTCAGAGCCGCCCCGGGATCCTGGGCTGGCCGTCTGAAGTGAACAGTGCTGGGTGTTGCTGCCCAGGACGAGATGCCTTCTTGTTTCTTGTACCATAAGTCCGTTGGAGGAATGCCATTAAAGTCAGCTCTCCACCTGTGCGCATCCACGGCTGAGTGGTTGGGGAAAACTGGCCCCATTCCTGTATCCGAGTTGTTAGGATGTTGGTCTGTTACAGATGGCCACCTGCCAGGGACTTTGCTGGGGAAAGGATCTCCCCACCCGTGAGGAAAGGCACCACCGAGGCAGTGCGGCTCGCTTTAACCTGAACACCACCCGCCAGCCTTGGAGCTCTGCAGACTTGATAAAAAGAAAGCTTGTCTGCAGGGGCTTTCAGCAAAATGAAGTTTTAAATTCTTTGCTGCTGCCCACTGGCAGTAACCAAAGGGGAGGGGAAGAGGCAAGGTGGGCCAGTGACTGGTGTGCAGTGGCCGCCAAGAGGCATTTTGCACTCAAACTCCACGCTCACCCTGAACTCCAGTGTGACTTTCTCTCTGTTAACATGTGCCTCAGTTTCCCTGTCTCTAACCTGGACCAGGAGGGGAAGGGTGGCGATACGTACCTCACAGGGTGGTTGTGGGGGTGGGAGGCTACTGGGAGTGAAGGACAGGTCTGTGAAGAGCGGCAGGACAAGGTCTGAGCTCAGAGCTGCTGCCCAGGGCTTGGGGTTTGTTTTGTGAGTAAATAAAATTGTCTTCTGTGGTGAATGAATTGAGGGGTTTTTCCCTTCACTCTTTCTCCCCTAGATGTACCCCTAAGCAACAGGTTTCTAATCAGAGTTACAGTTCTCTCACTTGAACACCTGTAGAATGTTGGGACTAGGAAATCCACATGACCTCTGGGATGAGGACAGGTATTGTTGGGAAGACGGTAAACGACTTGTGTGACATCTGCATCTCTCTCTGATGAGTTTAGAGTTCTCAGCACAGACTGGGATGTGGATCTCTGCACAGGTGGGGACTCCACTGGTGGAGTTTGGGGAGAGAGTGAGGGTGGCAGGGACAGCATGGAGGTAAGGACAATGGGAAGCAATGAGGAATATGGGAGCAGGGAGGAGCAGCGGTTCTAGAAGGGTTGGCGAGGGTGGCAGGAGGGGCAACGAGATCTTTGGTGCCCCTTGGGCTTCCATCCGGCCAGAGAGAAACTGGGCTTCCTGCACCCGCCTGCAGTCCCTGTGAGGGCAGATCCGAAGCCAAGCATCCCTTGCCAGCGCTTGCTTCCAGTGCCCACCAATTTCAACATCCCTTGGAGGAGAGCCTTGCCTCACCCCCGTTTGCCCATCTCTCCATCCCCCCGGCACCCTCCCCTGGCTCCAGCATGGCAGTCACAACACACCTTCCAGGTCTTTGCACAAGCCATTCTAAGTGTCACCTCTTCAAGGCTGCCCTCTGGGCGATTTGGCGATGGGGAAGTGAAGCCCTGCTCCTGAGGCAGCCGATCTGGTGGCCTCTCCTCCCTGCCCTTAGTCTGACTCACCTCGGTGGCCTTCCGGTGCCGCTGCCTCCCTGAACAGCCCCCAGCTCCTCCTCCCCGCCCTCTTGCTAGCCAGTGAGAAATTCTCTCTCTCAAATAAAAACACTATTAGGACTGTAAGAACAGGCTGTTATGAACTCTTCTACAAAATGTTCGGGAGTAAAGTGGTTTTCAGCTTACAGGAGGTGATATTTGCAGCGTTTAAAAGCTATCCAGAATGATCTTTAAAAATTGGGCTTGAAGATCAAGTTCCCTTTTTAAAAAGCTGCCATTTAGTGATTCTCACAGGTGTTTTTTAATACTTTGTTTTTAGTTTTCTCATGTTCTTTTCAGCAAGCCTGTCCATTGTTGATGACCTAGCAGAGTGCTGGGGAGCTTGGTTCAGACCCCTGCTCCATGACAAGTGCTCGTGGGGGCTGGGTAGCGTTTTGTTCCTCTCTCACTCAGCAGAGGGAGGTGAATTACACCCCCAAAGAGAGATTGCCCAAACTTATTTGGTGCTTGTTACAAGCGTGCAGACTCATCAGACTGCTCCATCCTTTTAGATTGGGGTCCCTGCAGGCCCCATGTTAATCCAGAAGTCAGAACACCTGGTTTGAGATGACAGGGTTGGTCTTGAGTGGTGAACCTCATGGCACTTAAGAATAAGGACAAAGACGCATGTCGAGTACAGAATCCACTCTTGTGAGCCCGGCAGCGATGAGGACAATCTTGGAAGAAAACCAAATGGAATTACTTAGTGGGATGAGCACAGGCTGGCGTCTAGTCCCACTTCCAAACCTGCTACTCCTTTGCTGTTGTGACTGTATTTCTCTGTTTCCTGATCTGTAACTAAGGACTTGAGCTAAATGACCTCCAAAGCCCGTTCCACCTCTGAAATTTCTATAATTTTTAAAACCATAGTTCAGGCTTTGGCTTTAAGCTCTCAAGTCATCTGGGTTCAGAAATAACTTCAAAACTTTGGGGCTAGCGAAGCTCCACTCCACTAGAGCATGCCCCACGTGTGGAGGAGAGTCCTCAGGGTTTTAGGTGATTGTGGGCCTGGCTAGGTTTGATTGTGGATCTTGGAAAGACTTTTTTCACTCAGACGTGAGGTTTTTTTTTCACCTAGTTAGAGAAGGAACTTTCTAAAAAGGCTAGTAAAATTCCCCGACAGAGAAGCCTGTCAGCCAGGCCAGAGCTCAGCAAGCTAAGCTCGATGGAGCAGTTTGAGGTGGCATCCTTGTGACATGGTAGAAGCAGCTTTGGAACTTGACTCTTCGCTCTGTCAGAGCGCACTTCCTCCTCCTGCCCGTCAGAGATTAGGAGAGGCTTGATGTGAGGTGGTGGGGAGTGCTCTGCAGAGCACTGAATGCCCACGCCACACCAATGGCAGGAGTCCTCAGGTGTGTCCCGTTTCAGCCCTTCATAGCAGCACCTACCGGGTGTGCTCTAACTCTGTTGTTCTGCATAAGTCTTCTGGGACTATAAACCCTACCATTTTCTTCCTGGAATTGACCAAAAACTCAGCTGTCTGTGGGATAGTGCTTCCAGCTGTGCCCTGATGCATGAGAGAGTCGACTGTGCCATGGGTCCCATCTGCCTGCTGTGCGTCTTGGGTGGGCACACTCAATTTCTCCAGCCGCACTCACCGTGTGTGGCCTGGGACATCTGGACTGCATGGGCACCTGCACGCACACTGACTCCTGGACAGGTTCAGAGCTGACCATCCCGCCATCCATCTTCCACTGCACTACCACCCCTCTCCCCCCAGTCAATATGTCTCTCTCCGATGGGAAAGTTAATAAATTTTGCTCTAGATTAAAAGTATTGATCATTTCATTTGTAAACGATAAATAAAAAGGGGGAACTTTTCATTGCACCAGGAGTAGCGCCTGGTGTATTTTGCTGGTGAAATTGCGCCAGCTGTCGGGGGGCGGGCGTCTCATATGCATTCCGGCTGGCCGGCTGCATTGATTTCCTATTAGTCTCCCAGCACCACCCAGTAACACATCATTTCAGTACCTGCTATTAATGGTCTTTTGATAAATAATCACTTGTAAGTCAATAAATTTTTATTAAACAGTGTGGCTCTTTGATTTATTAAAATCCGACCGTGTTTGTCTGGGAGAAAAGGGATGCTGAATTGAAGTGGAGGTTTTCATACATCTTCCTGACGCTGAGCAGTCACCACACGCTCCAGAGAAAAACAATTGCATTTTAACAGAAACAAAACAGCCGAGTTTGGAACTTGGGCGCAGGGAAACTTCATCTCCGTCAGTCTGAGGCCCACTCTGCAGGGAGCAGCTGCAGGCCCGAGGGCGCGTGGCGAGAACTTTGGGCCTGCTCCCGAGAGTGGTGAGGCACCCGGGCTGGGCCCCGCAATTGCATTCTGGGTAGCACAGCCCCTCGCTGGTGCCACAGACGGCTCCACGGGTCAGCCATGCCCCCAAGAGGTGCACCTGGAGTAGGCACCCACGGCAAATGGACATTGAAGATCCATCCAGGACCTGTTAGCTTCCTACCTGCCCAAATCACCAGTCGTGGCTTGTGGCAGGAACTGCCAAGAAATTGTATTTTGTTACGTGGAAATTTGGCTGTGTATTATTTTAAAAAGTGAGGCAATAGCTGAAGGTTGGAAATCTTTTTTGTGAGATTGGCATTGGCATAAAATTTGCTGTAAAGGGTTTGACACCTTTTCATTGAGACTAACATGGTCCCAAACATGAATATGGAGCAGCCCAACCACTAAGCATAGCCAGGACTACCCAACCCAGCAGGAAGTTACGGGAAGGGGAGAAAATGGCTAGTCAAGTGTTTTCTTGAAACTAATAGTGGAACTCCTGCTCCTTGACCCTGTGATTGTGCAGGCCACTGCCACCAACTTCTTTGCCGTTGAAACTTAGTGTGACAGGTGTTCACAGGAGAGGGGCTTTGAAAGCTTGGATTGCTAGGAAGAAGTTCAGCTGAGGGCCTTAGTGTTTTCAAACATTTTACGTTGTTATGTCTTTAAATCACATTTTTAAATGTTTTTAAGATTTCATGTTTTAACCCTGCTGCAAGGTTTGTCTGTCGTTGCTTGGAGTTCCTTTTCTGTCCTGGTCTTGGGAGTGAAAGCTGCTAGATCCGGGATCTTGAAGAGGAACAGGCAGCTGGAGAAAAAACAAACGTGACCGTCCCGCCAGGCAGTAAGTAGTAAGATCAGGGTTTCAGGAGGGGGGCCCCGCTCTGTCCGTGTGCGGGGGTGGGGGCGTCGGTGTCAAGGACCCAGGCTCTCCTCCAAGGAGCCCTGAGGCCTGTGCGCACGCCGGAGCCCCACCCCCACCCCCACCCCAGGGTGGTGTAGTGCTGCGGCCAGGCAGGGGAGCCACAGGACAGCTTGCTTACAGCTTTCTAGAACCTGAATGACGACATATATCTGCACTTGACATGTGCAAACTTCAAGTCCACTTTCAAGGTAGAACAGGAGACTTGTGTGTAATGTTTCCCTTGGGGGTTTGCCTCTAGCCTCGATAATTCTCCCTCCCGTCGCTTCCCCATCCATGTACATTCCACTCTATTGTCAGAACTTCGGTGGGGAAGTTGGAGAAGAATCGTCTTAGAGTTTCTTGTATTCCCTGAGTTTACTTCCGGTCATTTTGAGTCAAATACGTTAAACTAAGGGAAAGGAGTGACTTGCTGTGCAACTTCCGCCATGGCTGATGGAGGGGGCGAGAGGAGCGAGGCTGGCACAAAGGAGTTGCAGGGGGCCTTCGGGCTTCATCCAGCAGGTCCCTGCACCCCTGTGGGTACAGCCAGACAGTCTGAGGCCGGGGGAAGGTGGAGGTCGGCAGGCCCTGTCTCCCTTGGCCGTGAGGGTGGAGACCTGGATCTTCCAGAACGGAAGATCGAGTCATCCTAGTGGGCTATGACTGTTTCCTTCTCTTGACCCGACGGCTCCCCAAGTGCATTCTCATTGGATTTGAACCCCCCTGCAGCTCCAAATGGCCGGATATGAGGTTGCGGGAGGTAAGCTGGCGCCTGCCCATGCCATCCCGTCCCGAGTTCTGGGCTGAGATGTTCTTCAGCCCCTTGCTCCCTCCCGCCCCCGTCACGGGCTCGGGGTCTGGACAGAACACTTGATCCTCCGGGCTGAGGGGTGGCTCTGCAGCGGCACCCAGGGCCAGGTCCCCGCGGCTGCTGCAGGGGCCGGGGACGGCCGCCTGCGCTCCGATTGATCCCCCAGCTGTGATTTGTCATCTCTCCGCGGCAGGCGCTGT